AGTCCTAGCTAGGCTTCTTTGGGTGAATCTGCAAAAGGGATCCAGAACGATCAGTCTCTTCAAACTGCAGGACTGTTTGAAGAAACCCCTAAGGCCCTAAAGAGATGCACCATAACAGGATGTTGGAGCCTGACCCCGCGACCGTCATACCCCGGAACTTCGCGGATCATCCCCCGCTGAAACACAGCGGAACACCCCCCCCAACACCAGCGCGTCCGCGCCGCGTCGTCCGCGTCGCTCAGGAGTCCGTCGAGGTGCTTTTTCGGGTGTGGTCAGGTCCCGTTTCGGGCCCGTCTCGGGCGCAGGGGAAGGCGGGTAGTCTCACTCACTCTCTGTGAACGGCCCATACGCTACGCAGGGCAATGCGTCAGCGCTTGTTGATCAACCTTGTAAGGCGTTGCATATCTTGCTGAGACCTGACCTCTTAGTTGGCACGGGCTCTGGCATCCAGGTGGTTTTGTCGCAGCCGCTTTACTTGAATTTGCATGAGGAACCTGGAAAAAATCCCCAGAAGGGAGTTAAAAAATACTTAACCATAGGGTTTAAAAAAAAGGGGCCTTAAGCAAAGCCAGGTTTACAACGACCTCTTGGCGTTCAGAACCATCACTGCGTCATTCTGATGTACTACTACTCATGTCCCTCCCACCCAAAGAAGAAGAACATTCTGGGTGCCGTTGGACACCCAAGGCGTTCATCCAACAGCCCCTCCGGCTCGGCCTAGAGGAGGCGGCGAAGCACCCAGCTCAGCCTGAAGGTCACAGCGGTCAGCACGGCGGTGAGCTGGAGTCCACGTCTTCAACCAAGAGTGCCGTAGTGATGCACCAACCAGCCACGAGTGGCCCTCCCACCCACCATCGAAACAGTTCTGCCTCCAAGGAAGGAGCTGCCGCCTGAGGTCCAATGACTGGTTGGTGGACTGTCAGGATGTGATTGAGACACCAGTAGCACGAGCAAGGACGGCCACAACTACAGGGTCGTGGATGAACATCTTCGGGAGACCGATTTGCGTTCCGACCCGGGTGTGGTTGGGGACATGTCGACCAGCCTACCCCCAGCCAGGGGCGATCCAAAGCGCCAAGATGGGCGATGGGACAGCGGGACAGCGATGGGATGCGGTGAGAGTCATGACTCTCCTTCCTATCTTCGATGTCCATGAAATTGCTGAAGGCGTACATTCAACTTGACTCTGGCTCGTGCGCGAGCTTTTTTGGAATTCCAAGCTCTCCTTCCTGAATGTCTTTCACCAACCTCCAAACTTCTAAAAGCTTCGAAGCTGTTAGAGACCTTCTTCCAAAGAAGATCCACGTCCAACTCACCCCAAGCTCTTCACCCTTAAAAGAGACGCCTCCTTCGCTTGCTTCACCCAAACCTCCCCCCCCACACCAACCGTGGTCCCCGGACGCTCAGCGTCGAATCGGCCGGGCTTTCCAAGGCGTAGGCGCGCACGCCCGCCTTGGCCTGAAGGGCGTGGAGAAGCCGAACGAAGAGGGAGACCTTCAACGGACCCAAACGGGGCCTTTTCGGCAGGGGATGCTGTTGGCTTTTCTCTCCCGTCTTGGTGTGTTTTCTCTTCTGTGTTTTTTTTTTTGCGTGACGACCGGCGCAACGGGGCGGAACGGCTTCGCCAAAGGAAGAGGGACAAATTAACGGACCCAACCGGGCTTGAGGCGAGGATGCTTTTTGCTTTTCTGTTTCCTGGGTGTGTTTTTGTGTGTTTGTTCGTTTGTGTGTTTTGTGTGTATGTAGTTTGTAGATCTGTCATGTTTCTTTCGGATGGTATGGGAAGGCGCGAAGGTGTGCTGGCATATGGTACGTTGGAGAGTTTCGTTCGGAAGAAGCACTACACTTGAGTGGTCAGGTGAAAATGGCTTGGAAGAGCATGATCTCTTGAAAAAAAAAAGAAAGCAATCAGCAATCCCATGCACCTACCATGACTGACTGGGCCTTCCGAGCTGGTCACTTCCCTTTTTCGCTTCGGAAGATTGGGCCACCCTACGGTGTTGGCTGGTACGCATTGGGAGAACTCCTCAGTCACCACCTCAGAAGAACGCGCTGGCGGGAGAAAACGGCTTGGCTTGGCGGGCGCGCTCTTCTTGGCTGTCCTCATGTGGGTCGGCGGCATGGCTTCTTCAATCTTCTTCAATCTTCATGCTTTTCAGCGTCACCATCGGGGTTTGATGAGAAATGAGTGCGGATCGGATCGGTTTGAAGCGACCGGAATGTCTGGTCCTATGTCTCGGACGACCCACGTGAACGTCTGCTACATGTACCCAGGATGGAGTAGAGATCTTCTGCTTCACCTGCACCATCCACCACCTTGCTCCGAAGTGCAAAAGGCGTCCCTTTTTTCTCCGGCTATGTCCAGCTGATTGTTTGGTGTCCGACATGATCTGTTGTGCAGGATGGGTGAAGTAGCTCCCCTAGTGTGCCAAATGCTTCAGTTCTCTTTGGAGCAAAACAGAGCCAATCATGTTAAAAGGAACGCATAGGAGATTCCGCTGTGCCCCCCTCCGTGGAACTTCCCTTCCCCCACTCCCTTCACTCTTTGACTCGGGCATTGCACACTGCCCCAGCCTCACAGGCGCATTCGCGACAAACAAATCTGTGTGGAACATCGAAGGCGGTGTGGAGGACCCTCCCAACATGTGGAGGGTGGGTTGGGTTGGGTTGGGTGGATGACAGTTTTGTTGGTTGACGGCACCTGTAAGTTGACGGCGCGGGTTGTTTCGGCCATGGAGTGGGCAACAGGAACATGGACGTGCTACACTTTTGGGGTGACAACAAACCCAGGTAGCTCATCAGCACCAAATCTCCAATCCAAATAGCGCACACCGTCCCACCATAGCGATTCGTGTCGAGGGCACTTCCCAATCCCAGCGCCCACCATAGCGCGGCCTCGCAAAGGGTGTAGCCCTTCCAGTGCTTCCCACCGCACTGTCCATAGACGGCCTGCAGCGCCTGGCCATCAGTCCCACACGCCACACAGCAGCAGAACAGCAGCATTCCTTGCTCCGGTCAACCTGGGTGGTAAGTCTATTCACCGACCCCAAAATCATATCCACTTCCAGTCACTCTAAGATAGTCTATTTCATTTGGTGATCAAGCAAGGCCTCCCTATGTGTTTCACCCAAGTATAGCCCACATGTGCGAGTGTGTGTGTGTGTGTGTGTCTGCGTCTGTGTTTGTGAAACCTGTTCATGCTCTCTGTGGCCATTTCGCAGGCCTGTTGAAAGCTTCTGGACTAAAATGCGGTCCCAAGATCGTTCCAAGGGGTCGTCCCGAGAAACACATCTCACTGGTACCACTCGGTCGCTGACCACTTGACACACGATTTCTTCTCCAAACCCACAGTGTGACACGTCTTCGAAAAAAAAAGACACCGAACGTGTAACGAAGCGCCGCGCCAAGCGCCGCGCCAAGCGCCGCGCCAAGCGCCGCGCCAAGCGCCGCGCCATGCGCGCCGGAGAAGCACCTGCTTGGGCTGACATTGACACAGAACCGCCGAGGCGTCGAAGTGCGCCGAGCAGCTCACCGTGGACCTGCGAACGGCGAGCCCAGGCGAGTGCCGCGAGCCCGCGTGTGGGCTCCGCGAGGAGGTTTTTGGAATACCAAATCGTGGGAAAAGGGAAAATGGATTCCGTCCTTGTTTTTTTCCGCAGATGTTGAAAGGAAAAAGAAACCCAAAAACATGTGAAGGGTCAGTCTCAGGTGAGTCCAACAAACTTGGAGAAACGAGTTTCTGCCCGTGCAGCGAGTGGATGCTTCGTGGGGCCGGTTTTTTGATTCATTGATGTCTAAGATGTTGCACCAATAGTGACAGCAGCTAGGCTAGGTGTTCAGATCTCCTCCCCCCTTCAGATTCACGTCGTGGTCGCTGAAGCAACATCCCGTTCTACAGAACCCACATCTTTCGGCAGCTGCGACTCGCTGAAGGCAGGCAGCTGCTCTGAAAAACATCTGCTGAGCTTGTGGCTTCACGTCGCAGGAATGCAAATAGGAAGTGAAGGCCTTCTCACAAGTCAGACCTGCCGCGTGGGGGAGAAGGAAGGCCGAATTGACTCGTTCGTACGACCTGTCAGAGCTTGACAGAGAACCTGATGTTGGAGCACTGGGTCGAACTCGAGTTCGCTCTGTTGGAGGGGCTGCATGACATTCGAGGTTCCACCAGCTGCGCCCCTTTGGGTCGTCCGACTGGTCGCCCGGCTCTTTTTGTTCGCACTGCGCCAGCCCGAGGAGTCCCTGCCCTGCGACAGGGAGGCGGAAAAAGGCCGGGGGGGAAAAGCAATGGTCTAGACGATCTCCGGCGACCCGTGCGGTCCAACCAGACGTCATGCAGGTTCTTGGCTCAGTCCAACGTGGTCGGGGGGGCTTGATCTCTGGTACTCCCCATCTGTGCAGGTCTTTTGTGGGGTACTTATATTTCTGCTTCCAAGATAATTAGTTGGTGAACCGGCAGACCAAAAGAATGCAGGTTCTTGGCTTTTTTGTATAAATTGATCCTGCTAGGAGAGCATAAAAACCGTTTGGGGTGCAGTTGGTACTTGTTTCGTCGGGAGGCATGAAAATGGAGATCATTCCGTGTGGGCTGCAACGTGCAACCGCCTCCGGAAACTCCAGAAACAACAAAGTGATGGTCCAATTTACCACTCGGTGGACTGGGCTCCCGAATCCTTCTCCAACCAACATTCTCCTGGAAGCACTAAGCTCTGGGATGATGTTTAGGCGACCCCAAGTGTTCTTGCCGCAAGCGCTAACGAAACCTTGCATGACAAGCAAAAGGCAATGTGTTTACCCAATTGGATACAACCTTCGGCGCGACTACGGGTCGTATGGCTTCAACTAACTAGGGGTCGCCCGGATTGCAAACCTCCTCTTCAGGAGGCAAGTCGAGTCAGCACGTTGCTGATCTGCTATCAGCAACGTATAAAATCAAACCCGACTCTGCGCGTAGTCAGCAACGCATGCTGCGGGTAGCAGCTGCAAGCAGCAAACTTAAATCTGGCCCCCCTGGGAGACGACCCTTGTGTCACCCTGGCCACGACATCCCCTCTGCCCCAACAACTCCAGGATTGGTCCTGGAATGGTGTTCTTGATCTCTGAAGGAGTCCGTCAATCTCATCTACCACCCGGTGAAAATCCCCGCGGGCAGCGTGCTACAAACAGACCGAATGCATCTTCAAGGACTCGCGCAACAACAGGATCACACCACGGTGGGATCCGTCACAATTCATCTCTTCAGCGATCTCCAAGGCGGTCCCTCCTCCCGTGGTGGCCAACGCATCGGCGCCAGACTTCAGGAGGAGCTGAACGATCTCCTGAAACAGCGCAGAATGCGAGAGAGCGACGCACGCGATGCCAAGCCCGCACCGCGAGAGAGAGAGAGAGAGCGTTTTTCAAGCAGGAGGGTTCTTCCTGTCGTGTTCTTGCATTCATGAGGCGGGACCCTTCGGCTTAAGAAAGTCTGTGTTTGCCCACTTGCGCACAAAGCTATCAGGTGCCCATGCTTTGCTTATTAAGCCGTAAGCCGGCAAAAAAGATGTTTAAGCATTCTTTCTCCTTACCTACAAAAAACAAAAAGGTGAGTCACTGCTCCGTTTCTGTCACACCCCGTCCACCCCGTCCTGGTCGCCGAGCTGCGCGGCCACGTGGAGAGGCATGGCATATTCCATTTTCACCTTCGGAGCATGGCCGTGGGGACAGCCGCCCACACCACGTGGGGAGTTCGAATCGCTGAAGCCATGCCTGGCGTGTTTCAGGTTTTCTCGAGGCACATTCAAATGTCAGGACACTCGGCACCCCGGGTGCGTCTTCAAAGCGCTTAAATCCTGACAATCCAATCCTATTCGACAAAATTGGACCTTCCCAAGAGTGGAATTCTCCCTCGCCTGTGTAAGAAGTCCTGTAGAAGTTGGGCCTTCCTCGCTGTTGCCTGCAACGTCCTTTCCTGGTGCGGGTCGCTGATCTTGCGAGTGTTCCTTGGAGAGCTTGGGAGCAAGACAGGTGCGATTTGAAACGTCAAATGTTGAAGTAGAATATATGAGTGCATCAGAAGCAACTATGATTTCTCGTGCTTGTGATCTTACTGTACTATTGTGACAATGATGAGGATGATGAGGAAAGGGAAAAGAAGGCAACAGTGCTGCTGCACCAAGCATGGTAAACGTGTTGAACCGTGCGCTTCATGTGTTAAGCATTACCGAACAAATTCCCACGCACGTAGCTGTTCACCAGTGGAAATTGGCCAATATCGTTACGAAGCTCGTGTTCATGCCTCTTTTTGCATACAGCCACGCGTCCTTGGCTACGATGTGTCATGAGAGCCATCATCCTTTCGAAAGCTTACAGCATTAAATGGTCTCCAAGTGTCATGCCACGGAGAGGCAGATTCATACCTCCCAACCCCGTTTCCAATGGCTGGCAGCAGCTCGCTGGCGCGGCGCGGCACGTCTCGTGCTTCGCTCGTTCGCTTCGACGTCTCCGTCACGCGGCCGTTCGCGCGTTCGAGCCGAAAGGCGGAGTTCAGCGACGTCCGGAGCGGTTGAAACGGAGGGCGGTTCGGAGCGGCCGGTGGGGTGGTTCGACAGGTCCGGGACCGGGTGCGGTGGGACCGGGCCTTGGTCCTGGCAGTAGGAGTCGCAGGTCTGGAACTTCTTCTGCTGATCGAAGGCCACCTGCACTCGGCACTGGCCACAGGTCTTGCCTCAGAGCCGGCGATGCGGTGTGGGATGCAAAGAGGTGAAACGAAGAGGATCTATAAGGATCTTTCTGTCGCAATCAGAGGAATACCAGGTGCAATCTGATCTGAGAAGTGAGGCTTTCTGCAGATGTCCTGTCACGTCACTCGATGATCTGAGTCTGAGATTTCGATCTCTGTTTGATTTTCAGAGAGGCTGTTTCTTCGAAACTCCGCTGAACCCGCTTTCCAGCTGGGCTGTTACTGTCATCCGGTGTCACACAGCAGCGCGTGTTCAAAAAACCCCTCTGTGGCCCCCAACCCACACTGGTCCAAATCGGACTCGGCGTGCCACAGTCCACCTCACGAAAATTAAATCCACTCACTCCCTGTTCAGGCGGTCGGCTTCAACGGCCATCCTCTACTCTGTGGCAACGCGGAGTGGATCACGGGTCCAAGGACCCCAAGTAGTCTTGCCTGGTGAAAGCCTCAGGAAGAGTATGACTGTATGACCAAGTCCAGTAGGCTCAAGACCGCCTTCCAACCAACGCCCACCTTCCAACGCCCACCCGAAGAACACCCACTTCGACTCGACTCGGAGCTCTCGGGCTGCCACCACAGAACTCACTCCCACGCGCGCCAAGGCCGACGGCATGGGGTGCTTGACCGGGTGTCCATCCTGACCGTCGATGTCGATCGAGTCGATGGAGTTCTTCTTCGTCACAGTTTCAATGAAGAGAAAACAAACAAAATGAACGACCAAATTGATAAAACAAAGAAAGAATGAACAACAACATAAATTTGGTATTGCTCATGTTTGTTTAGAAACAATCCTCTTAGATACATCCTTTATTTTGTTGATCAGCATTGTCGGGCTTCAATGCCGATTTATTCGACCTCTCTCGTGCTTCACCGCCACCCCGGAAGCAGTTCTTCAAAGTGTTTGTCAAGCGTGAGAAGGAAACTGCAGCTTATAAGCCCAGCCACATACCTATCCAAAAGTCCATCTTGACCACCAGTTTCAATCTCCCCGTGCTAGAGAATATGTTTAAAACTGTAAAACAAACAAATAGGTGATGCGAGGTGTCCAGTCACCAGCCCAAACACAGCGGCCCAATGGGGCCCAGGTAGACCCACAACAAGCGGGGCCACCTCGCAGGCCGCCGTGTAGTAAGTATTCTCCGCGTGGTTCACATCATAGGCATGGCCTCTGAACGGCGAACTTTGCGGCGAAAATAGAAAGCCAACCTACAACCTAATAGCGATGGCCTCCAACCTAATAGCGATGGCCTCCAACCTAATAGCGATGGCCTCCAACCGAATTGCGATGGCCTCCAACCTAGTAGCGATGGCCTCCAACCAAATTGCGATGGCCTCCAACCTGGTAGCGATGGCCTCCAACCAAATAGCGCTGGCCTCCAACCTAATAGCGATGGCCTCCAACCTAATTGCGATGGCCTCCAACCTAATAGCGATGGCCTCCCACCTATGGCCTCCAACCTAATAGCGATGGGCTCCAACCGAATAGCGATGGCCACCAACCTAATTGCAATGGCCTCCAACCCAATAGCAATGGCCTCCAACCTAATAGCGATGGCCTCCAACCTAAGAGCAATGGCCTCCAATCTAATTGCGATGGCCTCCAACCCAATAGCAATGGCCTCCAACCTAATAGCCATTGCCTCCAACCTAAAAGAAATGGCCTCCAACCTGATTGCGATGGCCTCCAACCTAATAGCGATGGCCTCCAACCTATGGCCTCCAACCTAATAGCGATGGCCTCCAACCCAATAGCAATGGCCTCCAACCTAAGAGCAATGGCCTCCAACCTAATTGCGGTGGCCTTCAACCTAATTGCGATGGCCTCCAACCTAATTGTGATGGCCTCCAACCCAATAGCGATGGCCTGTGGCCTCCACCCTAGTAGCGATGGCCTCCTTCTTTGACTCAAACGATGAGGAGTCCCATGAGCCCCTCACAATCCACCCAGAAGCTGCAGAAGATTTCAAGTTCGAGGATGGTTCTTTTCTCCATATCCAAAAAAAGGTGATGCTGACGCACCAGCACGGTTTCGAGCCAGTTGACCCCACCACGAAGCTTCAGCTCCTCCGGTTTTCGTCGTGAAACCACCCCGCTCCGCTGCTCCCGGTCGTTCGGGCCTTTGCCATGGAGGGCGAACTCATAGGGTTCACAGAGGTTTCCGTTGTTGGAGTTGCAAGGCCTCAGTCAGCAGGTGCTTTGAGGAACCACCACGGATGGCTACCTACGGTGCTTGGCGGAACTGTGCTTGGTGGCAGGTCGGTGGAAGAACGAAGAGACGCCAACAGTTGGGGCGAAAGCCATGTACAATCTGCATTTCATATATCATGCATCCATCGCTTGCAGTTTTCGGAGGTTCTTTGGCATGCACATGCATGCACCATGTCCCATCCACAGCCTTCGAAGCGATTCCATCTCTGCATCGCAGAATGTCGCAAACCCTGTCGCGTTGTCGCCTACGAAAAAAAATGGCGGTAACGCATCCATCTCCTATACCCGGTAGAAGCTCGCTTTGCAGACTCTACCAGGACCCTCCGTTTTCGGGGTGTCCTGGCTGGACTACCCCATACTACCTATAGGCTTCCAGACAGCGCACCCCGAAAACGGAGGGTCCTGGTACATTGACTGTCTGGCTGTGGAGTACCGACCCGTCGGGCGGGACGTCGTTCGATGTCTCGAAGCCACGTCGGGCGCGGGTCGTCTGGTCTGGAGATGAGACGGCTCTGGGTTGGGAGGTACCAAAGGAAGCTAAGAAGAAGACTCTTGATGCCACATCTCCTGGCATCTTCATTTTCCCAGCACAGTGGGACTCGCGAGGACTCGCGTCCTGATCCGCGAATCACGACGACTGGACAGTCGTCGCACATATGTGCTTTAGCACGACGTCCTTTCGATTCCGATCGAAGCGATTCTTCGTGACTCGATGTTGGTGGGTCCCCGACACTCCGCCACACCAGACACATGGCTGCCCTTCCACCTGACGACCGGTCGAGAGGTCGACGGTCGGAGTGGAAGAAGATGATTTGGTCGTCAAAGGTCGTTTACGGTTTATTGGTCTCCAAATAGATAGTACGCACACTTTCCTTTATGCATTCATTCTTACTTTACGGGGCATCGACTGTTCGATCGAAAAAGAAGTACGGGTCCTGTCTCAATTGACGGGGGCAAAAAGAAGTACCCTCCCAGAAACCTGGCGGTGGACGACCCCCTGGTCTTGTGGTCCGGTGGTGACCTTTGATCGCAGATCAAAACATGTCTCATGGGCCTGGTCGGCCCGGGCGCCATGGAATCTCTTGCACTACCCCATGGAATCAGGTGCTTCGAAGCAAATGACAAACGTCAACCGAAAGTCAGCCGATTCCTGAACCATCCATTTCGGATATCATGGCTTTGCTCGACAATCCCAACTCTTGAGCAGGATTCCATGCATTTCCAGTCTAAGGCACCCCCAAAATCTGATCTTATCAGCTTCGATCACCTCCGCATCTCCACGTTCACTTCGCGTGGAGAAGCTATTGCGAGCGTCTCCTCCGACCAACCGTGCGGTGCAGCGCAGCGATCGCCAGCTCCGATGCCGCGCCTTGAGGCCGGCGATCTGCGCGAAGGGGCGGCCGTCCAGGCTCGCGAGACACGTCTCCATGTCCTGGATCCGACAGAAGGGACCCTTCAGACGGGCGGAGAGGAGCGGACAGCAGTCCGGAGGGCGAAGCCGAAGCGGAGCGGCCGGTTGGGCAGACGGGGGGGAGACCAGGTGGGTGGAAAAAGTCCAGGGACGGGAAGGAAGAGGAGCAGGAAGGAGCTTTTGTCCAACTGGTTCTGGTGCTTTCGGGGGAAGGTCGAAAAGATCGGGTCGTCCTCCGAGTGCGAGCCAGGCCCGCACTTCACTCTGGCAATTGTTTTGTCCAAACCACCTGAAGGTCTTCGATCTGCCATGTCTGCCATGCATGCCATGCCCTTCGGTTTCTGCCTATGGGGGGACTTGAATTCTGGGTCACCGCGGATTTCACCGCTGGCTTTGGCCGAGCCAACGCCTAGGACTGAGGATCGAAGCGAAGTCTCTCGGAAAACCGGTGTTGTCAGCCATTGTCCGCTTAAAAGAGAGAAAGAAGAAACTAGAGGAACTGCATATCCTGGTAGAGGAAGATGATTCATGCTCAAAACTGCTTCACCATTGGAATACGAAAAAGATAGGAAGTACTTCTTTAATTGAGTGATGCTTCCCGCTTCCCTTCCCATCTTGACTGCCCTCACCACCCCGCCTGGATGCTGTTGCAGCCCTTCTCTTGTCGCGTGAGGCACCCCACATTCCCAAAGCTGCGGCCGTTTGGCGCGTCTGCGGCCTTGCGGCAAACAGTGGGATGAATCACGTCGGCTTGGACGGCGGGGGACGGCGGGGAACGCTTAGGCATCTATCATAAGGACCTTTTTTTCCATCCAGTTTCCATGTCCAGTTGAATTGGAACCAATTGATCCATCTCACAGAAAACGGCATGCTTTTTCATGCCCATTGACACTCAGCGGAGAGAACAACTGCGACCAATAAGACCTTCCAGCCAGATCTCAATCTCCAAACGCTTCCAACCAAAAACTTAAGGTTTGGAGGGATGAGAGGGATGAATGAGTCCATCTTATCCCAAAGAAGGAGAGTCCACCTTATGCATCTTATCCCTATAGGGCTGCCGATAGGGCCTTTTTGGGGCTTCCATCCACCGATTGGATCGGCGGACACCACTCAGCGACCGCCTCGCACCGGGCCACCGAGGCGGTTTCAAGGGCCTCGGCCACCGGCGACCGCGTGCGTACGCGCGACGTACCGTGCGCACCCTCCGAAACGTGTGCGTGCGTGCGTACCATGCATCCGATGTGGAGGGTCGGG